ACAGTTAGCAAACATATTGGTTGGTAGGATGATGAAGTTTCTATCGCGCTCATGTGTTTTACATGCCGCACCCACCTCATCATTTTGTATTTGATCAACGTAATAGTAGTTTGTGAAGAAACTCCGTGGCCTCTAGTCCGCAAGCAAACTAATCCGACCGAGCGACCTCCGCTTGTCAGCGAAGTTAGTGCCAACTTTAGCGGATAGAGGGTGTCGCGTGGTCAGCGCAACGGATCCCCACTGCCGTTAGTCTCGGTTTTATAGACCGGAGCCGCTATTTCCAAGAAATAGCTCCTAAATTACCTTCACGAGACTGAGTGGACCTCGTTTCAGACCCACTACTTCTCAGAAAATCTGATAGCGCCAGGAATGGAACCCCGACCTCTGGAACTGTAGCCAGGAACTCTGACCACTAGACCACAGAGGCGGTTAGTTTGTGAAGAACAGTTCCTAATTAAAATCAAAGCCCAAAACATGACGTTTCGCATCATAGTGATTGAAGTTCAGACATGTCTGGAATATTTTCCTTAACGAATGACTTGACACTGGGTCCTTAACAGAAGCCAGACGTAACTTTAATGTCAGAGAAGAGCGGGACGTGAGCGGTGGCCCGACACATGGAAGCTTCCAATTCTAGAAATGTCGTGTTGCTAGTGTGACAAGAGGAGAACAGGAATTCATGAGTTTGAAATTTTGTGAAATCATCGTGCATTATACCCCGATACTTCATACATATCAAAGGCTTATCCTTGGAAATGTGACCGCCTCTGTGGTCTAGTGGTCAGAGTTCCTGGTTCGATTTTCGGCGCTGTGTTATTCTGAGAAGTAGTGCGTCTGGAAAGGTGTCCTCTCAGCCTAGTGAAATTAACGGCCGTGGGTATCCGTTGCGCTGACCACGCGAGACCCTCTATCAGCGAAAGTTGGCACTAAACTTCGGCGACAAGCGGCGGTCGCTCGATCGGTATAGTTCGCTTGCGGACTAAAATCACGGAGCTTTTTTATCCTTGGAAATGTGGCGATGCATTAAACGTCATTCTGCATGCGCCGCAAATACCAACTGGTTTTATAGTGCGAACTAATAGTAATTGTATGCTGCAAATTTATCGTGGATCTTGAGAAACATATCTTGGTCAAAATCTGAAACCGCTTCTCGTCTCCAGCCGCGGTTGGTCGAGCACATTGAAACTTCTCCGGACCTTCAAATTCCAGTTATCTTCAATCTTTTTCCCACACCAACTAAAACTGTACTTCATCATTGTAACATCGTATATTTCCAACATAGGACCGCTTAAAAAAAAAGAGAAAAAAAAAAGGAAAGTCGAACTGTAATTCTGCTATCAGGTTACGCCCCGAAACGGTCTAAATATTATTTTGTAACTATTTTTCATTGTTTTTACCCTTCACCGCCCACATTACTGCTCTCCTCTCCTCTCTACCCTTTTTCTTTCCAGTCGATAGATATAAAGTTTTCCGTGGTTTATACTTAAGGCCTATACCTGTTTGTTCGGGTGAAAGATGTTCTCTGTACACATACCCGGAACAGTTCCGACCAGTTGTATACAATCAGTTCCCCTCTCTTACTTTTGGAACTGAGCCCTTCTTGAGGAGAAGCCAAATCTGCAGCTTTTCCGGCATTTTATGGAGCCCTCCACTGGTCCTTATCCTGAGCCAGATCAATCCAGTCCAGGCATCCTATCTCTCTAAGATCCATTTTAATATTGTTCACCCACCTACGCCTTGGTCTTCCCAGTGGTTCTTTCCTTTTTACTTTCCCACCAATGTCCTATACGCATTTCTCTTCTCTCTAAGATCCATTTTAATATTGTTCACCCACCTACGCCTTGGTCTTCCCAGTGGTTCTTTCCTTTTTACTTTCCCACCAATGTCCTATAAGCATTCCTCTGCTCCCCTATTCGTGCTACATGCCTTCCCATCTCATCCTCCTTGACGTGATCATTCTGATTATATTTGGGTAAGAGTATAGTTTCCGTCTCAAGTTCATAAATACCTACCACGTATTTGGAAGGGATAATAAGAAAATATACGCCCTCATGCATCCATAATTGAAACTTCAATTTTATGTTCACTAATTTAGCTCCACAGCTATTTCCTTGAAATGCGTAAAGTTATTTTGGCTGGTCAGGAAGTTATCCTAATTTTATGGAAGCCGATGATGGTAACGATATGTACAGAACCCTATCGTAGTTTATATCCTGAAGAATATAGATTCAGTTCACCCACTTTACGCCCTAATTTTGTAAGATTCATTTTAGTATTATTCCGTCACACTTCGGTCGTCGAAGTGGTAGAAGATTTTCGAACTAAATTTTGTTATGCATATCACATTTCTTGTTTGCGCATCTTTGCACGTCTAGAATCAACCTCACCACATCAGACTTTTCTTCCTCTCTCTGTTTCTATTTATCTACTTCTTCAGTCTCTCATACTCTACAGCTCCTGATGATCGGATAATTAGTGAATAAAATTACGAAAGCGTGTCAAGCGAAACAGTCCTATCCTAATTTAACGTGCTACCTTAGCATTTGGGGCGTGCGGTAACGTGGTTGGTAAGGCACTATGCTACAAGCCTGAAGGTCGCGGGTTCGATTTCCGATCAGGTCATTGGATTGTTTAAATTTACTTAATCCTTCCATCCGCACTATGGCCCTGTGCTCGACTCAGCCTCTAACAGGAATGAGTACCGGGAATATTCTTGGGGGTAAACGGTGGCCGGCGCCTAAGGCTGACAACGTCACTGTTATGTATGAGCCGATTATCTAGAAAATGTGGGAGCCTCGACGTCTCACAACCCTATGGGCCTTCACGGCCTGTTACAGGGATAACTTTGCTTTTTACCTTAGAATTTACGTGGACGGACTGAGGAAAACCCATAGTCAGGATAGATGATTTCTAAGACGTTATTTCCAGAATACTCTCCTCTCTACTTCAACTTTCTTAGGACCAATTATCCGCAAGAATTGCAAGGAACCTGACTTGCACATTTTTATACACCCGGTTCCTACCGCTTCGAATCCCTGATTGTATGGTTTGAGAAGTCATGGGAACCTGATTGGTTTGTCTGAAGCGGGGTGATTTACAAACGTTCCTTGTTTGAAGTCATCAATATATTACAGTATTGACCTGATGGAGCTGGAGTAAGAGATCAAAGCGCCCGTCTTCTGTCTGTCTTAATACGCAGCTGCTCTTTGTGTATGGTCGCTTAATAGGGCGAAGCTATAATCGTTTTCATTAATGAGGTATTTTATATGAATTTATGCTTTTATAGGATATTATTTAAGCTAGAGGCTGTATTTCCAGTGTCTGCGTTTAATTGTAATAAATAAAATGTATTTATCTTTTGAAAAGGTAAAGCTATCCATGTAACAGGCCATGCAGGGCCGTAGGGTTGTGAGACGTCGAAACTCCCACATTTTCTAGATAATCGGCGTACAGACGGCTGTCAGATTGTCAGCCTTTCGCGCCGGCCGCCCTTTACCACCAGGAAGAGTCCTGGTACTGATTTCTGTTAGAAGCCGAGTCGACCCCAAAGGTATAATGCGGCTGGAAGGATTAAGTCAATTGAAAAATTCAGTGATCTCATTGGGAATCGAAAACGCGACCTTCCGGCTTGTAGCGTAGTGCCTCAACACTACGCTACCGCGTGCTCCTACGAAATAAATTTTTGACTCCCACCCACTTAGAAGAAGAGATATTGGTAAACAGTGGAAACGATGGACTGAAACTGGAACGTGCTTGTACACATGTTCTTAGAGGACGGAAGAAGAAAGTTTTAAATTTGTCATATTTTATTTATTCTGGAATTAAAGTTTCGTATAAGAAAAATAAATGTGTGACTCCTAGCGAATACTTGATGCCTGAAGAATTACTTTTAAGCACGAACGAAGTAGATATAAATGCACGAAGATACTAACCGCTATACACAGAAACAAAGTTTCGGTCTGAAATAAAGGAAATTAAAGTAGGGAGGTCAGATTAAGTTTTAAGACACAATTGCATTTAAACGAACAATATTTTTACAAATTAGCTTGTTAAGAGCCTTTAGATAGTCAAAATGAAACCAAGAATTTAAGAGAAGCCGACAAGAATTGGAGAATATAATGTGACATGTAGATCCGTTGCTACGCAACGACCCCGAAATAAGTAACTATAACTACGCAGCAGCCGTTGCTAAGTTTCACGGCAACAATTGCCCTAGAACAGAGGAACGGTGCCTTCTACTCGGTCCGTGCCTAGATGTTGTAAATCCGGATAGTGAAGTTAGTGAGTGATTTACTGAGGCAGTGAGTTAATGAGTTAGTCAAAGAACTGCTGAGATTCAGTCATTGTGTGCTGTTGCTGTGAGAATCTGGTAGCTGAGGCCGGGACAGTTTGGAAACCTACAAGAAGGGGAACTCCGCCGTTAGAGACCGCCACCAAGCAACGGCAGTGAAGACGTGGCTATGGACACTAGTGTGTATGTGTGTGTAATAGTGAAATGTAGAGTGTAGTACAAGTTGTATAAGTGTGCAATAAATCCGATTGCCAATCCAAGCCCCGATTATAGTCACTCTATCACGTGACAGTGTGAAGAAAGAATACTTACATACATTCGAATTAGGAAATCGTGTTTCATATCTTTTCGATTTTATTTTTTACTACGATCCATTCATTCGATGTTATGTAGTCTGAGACGCTGACAGCGTCTTCAAGTAAGCTACAAATGAAAGTAAATAAGGCGATAAAGGGTCACATTATTAACAGGTTTAACGTATGAATATGGTAACAGGCCAAACTTTGCCCAACCATGGCCTACGCTGACCATACAGATCACAGCAACCCCGAGTCAAGGTGCCTTGTCATCGTCAGAGCTGTCCCCTAACCTGCTATCTCCTGTCACGTTCGGTTCACATGTGGACATGAAGTGTTTACTCCATTGCTAGAAGTCTGTTCGTCATCTCTGTTCGTCATCCTGTAAGTAATGTCACTTGTGTGTTGTACAGGTGGACGGTTCGTGTCCTTCTCCCCGTGCATCGAGCAGGTACAGCGCACCTGTGAGGCCCTCAGTCAGCATGGCTTTGTGGAGATCACCACCATGGAGTGTCTTCAGAAAGAGCTGCAGGTGCAGACTCGCAACATGCCCATTTTGCAGCTAGACTTCCTCCAGCACAAGGTACCGTCTTGCCTTCGTACCCAAGCCAGATACTCACAACACCTCATTCACCAACCACAGTAGCTGATTTTGAAATCATTAATTGCTTATTCTGAAAGAAATGCATGTAGGAGTTTGGTGGTAAAAGCAGAAGGAAATAGACCACTAGGAACATCTAGACGTGGGTAAAGGTAAAAAAGGCAAAGTTGTCCCTGTGCCTAACTAATTAAGCACTAAGCCACGAAGGCGCATGGGGAAATGGATGAATAGGTCCACATTTTCTTGACTTTGGCAGTAGTTGGAGGTGATTGGTCAGCTTTACGCCCCGGCTGCTTTATCCCCGAGGAAAGAGCCCCCGGAACCCATTGTATAGGAGGTTGGGTGGACACCAGAGCCGGTCTGGACGGCAGAGAAGTGAAAATTCTTGCCTCACCGGCACTCGAACTCTGACTCCTCCGTCCTCCGGCCAGTAGCCAGTCGCTATACCGACTGAGCTAGCCTGGCTCCTAGACATAGGTGGGAGGACAATATTATCACGTGTATGAGTGTAACTCTCGATGGGGTTTTGGATTGAATATTGGATTTAATTTACCGCTCGCAACTACCAGTAATTATAGGGCCAACGCTAATCTCCACACCCTACTGTTCACTCTTACACGCGTGCTAGGTCTTTTCCAGGTCGCAGTGTCTTCACTAGTGGTTCTTGGTAACGGCCTGTAACAGTGGCTATTCCTCTACTTCCGGGCTCAAGTCCTCTTTGAATAGCGGCTCCCTTCCAACTGTGACTTCTTGCTCCAACTTAGTCTTCTGTTTCACAGAATAAATTTTTGACATTGACTAAGCTGTAACCTTGTCCCTTGCTCATAATATCGCGGTACGGACCACGCAGAAAACACCGTTCCTCTGTTGCATGCGTATCCGTTGCCGCGGAGACGTGTTTAAAGTGCCGTTCCCTAGCACCAACCGTCTGCTCCTGCTTATTAATAATCTGTCGCCTAGCAACGGACGTCGTTCCATTATTTGTTTCCCGGCCGTTGCGTAGAAACAAATGTTTTATAGCCGTTCGCTAGCAACGGCTGTTTCTCTGGCTCCACAGTTCTTGCTTTGAGCAAATATGTCGCAATATTAAGATGGATGTTGCAGAGATAGGACAGGATGGTATGGACTGGATTGATCTGACGATGGGAACCAGCGGAGGGCACTTGTGAACACGAAAATGAACCTTCGGGTTCCGTGAGATGTTGAGAAATTTTTGAGTAGCTGCGCAACTGGCGGCTTCTCAAAGAGGGCTTAACTCTACGGAGTTAAATGCTTATTCTTCGCTTGCTTATTATTATTATTATTATTATTATTGGTGGTCTTTTGTCTTCTCGTCTGTTGTCCAAAAACATAAAAATTAGAATATACAAAACTATAATTTTGCCTGTGGTTCTGTATGGGTGTGAAACTTGGTCTCTGACATTAAGGGAGGAACATAGACTGAGGGTGTTTGAGAACAAGGTGTTGAGGAGAATATTTGGACCAAAGAGAGATGAAGTCACAGGAAGTTGGAGAAAACTGCATAATGAGGAGCTTCATAACTTGTACTCTTCTCCAAGTATAATTAGATTGATCAAATCAAGGAGGATGAGGTGGGCAGGTCATGTAGCACGAATGGGGGAGACGAGGAATGCGTATAGGATATTGGTGGGAAAGCCAGAAGGAAAGAGACCACAGGGAAGACCAANTCTACACCAATCCCGTAATGAAATGTTAGGCCCCTTATTCTGTCTTCGGACCTTAAATGTAGGGCAAAATCTGTTTAATATGGAGTATCCAAGTTCTGTATAGAACTGAATTTGGATTATACGGCACTGGAAATTATTAGAAAGTGTTTTGTTTCTTGACTATAGAGTGTAATGGGCCGAGTTTCTTGACTACAGAGTGTAATGGGCCGAGTTTCTTGACTATAGAGTGTAATGGGCCGAGTTTCTTGACTATAGAGTGTAATGGGCCGAGTTTCTTGACTATAGAGTGTAATGGGCCGAGTTTCTTGACTATAGAGTGTAATGGGCCGAGTTTCTTGACTATAGAGTGTAATGGGCCGAGTTTCTTGACTATAGAGTGTAATGGGCCGAGTTTCTTGACTATAGAGTGTAATGGGCCGAGTTTCTTGACTATAGAGTGTAATGGGCCGAGTTTCTTGACTATAGAGTGTAATGGGCCGAGTTTCTTGACTATAGAGTGTAATGGGCCGAGTTTCTTGACTATAGAGTGTAATGGGCCGAGTTTCTTGACTATAGAGTGTAATGGGCCGAGTTTCTTGACTATAGAGTGTAATGGGCCGAGTTTCTTGACTATAGAGTGTAATGGGCCGAGTTTCTTGACTATAGAGTGTAATGGGCCGAGTTTCTTGACTATAGAGTGTAATGGGCCGAGTTTCTTGACTATAGAGTGTAATGGGCCGAGTTTCTTGACTATAGAGTGTAATGGACCGAGTTCCTAGACTATAGAGTGTAATGGGCCGAGAGTGTTCAACATGGAAGCGGGAAGAGAAGACGGCAATTTGACGCAGTTGTCTCTCCAATGTTAATTGTTTTCTGTTCACATGTTTTCCGCACTTTGCTTCTTCCATGTACACGACAGAAATGTTCTGAGATGGAACATTCCTTTCATGAACTTGGAAATAGTAAGTTCTACTGTAAAAATAATAAAAAAAACGTGCAAGATACTACAGTGGCTTACTCACGAAGGAAATAAAGAAAACTGAAAATGTGTAGACTTTCTACTCAATGGCGGTATATTTTGTGTACACATGCGAGATCTGATCACAAATGCTTAGAATTGTATTTAGGCCAATTGCCCCGTATATTTAATAAGTATGCCCGCTTTTGATAAACGAAAACCAGTCTCAAATGGAAGAGTTCCGTTCGCTTGTGATTCCCTTAATAACAGGTTCTACTGTATATATTGAAGACTCGTTTTAAACCGCTGTTTTGTATAGCTCTGGAACTTGGTTTATTACTCCTAGGGTAGGACATAAATTGTTACAGGGAATTACTGGCCCTGCACATATCTACTATAATTAAAACAAAAAACACAGTGTGAAATTTGGGGTTCTCGAGGCGGTGACTATTAAGATTATTGTTTCCGGTGTGTGATACCATGTTTTCCGGTATTTACCGGACGTTTCGGAGGAACGTTCTGCCTCCATCTTCAGGGAAGAGTGAAGATGGAGACAGCATGTTCCTCTGAAACGGCAATAAACCTCAATCAGATTTATAGGGAATCACGTTTTAGAAGACATCAGTTTAAGCTGTTCTTAAGTTGAGTTCATATGCTGCGTTGCTTTCAGAGCCAACGTTTATCATTACCAACATTTATTGTGCCGTTGATGTGGTAGTCGGCAGTTTATTCACAAACGCCAACGTCGTATCCACTGGTCTTTGCTGTCACTCTTCGTACATGCGAACCGGAATTATTTACAGTTACTCGGCCTCCTATCCAACGGGTACCGGGGGGCTCTTTCGCCGGGGCTAAAGCGGCGAGGGCGTGTAGCTGACCACTCACCTCCATCCAATGTCGAGGTGAAGAAAATGTGGATCTATACATCCATTCCTCCATACGCCTTCATGGCGTAGTGCTTAATTAGTTAAGCACAGGGACAACTTTTTATTCGTTTTTTTTTTGTAAATTTTCCTTGATGGAATCGGGCCCTTTGAAACATGTACCATAATGTGACTTGCCTGTAGTCACTTCTCGACGGTGGAGTCAGTGAGGGTAACAGAGACGTCGATATTAGAACCCCGTCCCCCTCCCAGGAAGCGTCGGCAGGAACACTTTTCGCACATTACTGTTGTTATTTTAGTTCCGACTGTAATTTCCGTTTGCGAGAGAGCATTAGTTTAAGACATTCCGGAAATGTGAAGTACCGACACTTGCAAGCAAATTTGCGGTGCAGACGTGTGTGAATGGAAGAAGTATTGTGATACGTTTCGGAGGCGCACACCTGTGCTAATACGCACAGAAGAATTGGTGACTTGCACGACAATTACGTGCAGTCCAGTAGTCCCCAAGAATTTGTCGGTATTTGAACCTTTTGTAGAAGATGCTTCGGTCTAGTGAACATTCAGCGAAATATGTTCAACAGTGTACATAGATATGCCTTAAGTATAGTTAAATGTTATTACGACAAAGCACCACGTCATGAAGGCGTATGGTGGTGTTGGGAGTAAAGCTCCACGCATTCTTTACATCGGTATTTATGGGAGGTAAGTGGTCAGCTTCGCTGTTCTGTCTATTGGAAAGAGTTCCTGGAATCGTCTAGCCAGCTCTTGACAGAGATCTTAGTAGTGATAACCTTCATTGAGTTGCTGGTTTCTGGCCTTATGACTCTTCGACCCTGAAGATGGAGGCGATATGTTCCGTAGAAACTTCCTAACTACAAGGCGCTACAGCACAGAAGACAGTACTCTCCTGCTTCTTATGAGGAGCTGGAGCAGGTATCCCGACCGCCTCGAGGGGTTTCGTGAAAGCCTGACGTATATATATATATATTAACGCTTTTACGAAGTTTAGGACTCAATCGTTCAGAACTACAGCTCATCAGTTATTGATAACATGTTGCACTGAAGAATCCATTTGGTGCTCGAAGACGGTTGTCTAGAGTGTGAAATGTGAAATAGTTTGGTAGCCTTCGTCATCATACGTGTGCCTGAAGAAGGCAGCGGTTCGCGTGGCATTCGTCTAGTCCCCATCACCTCATTTGTCATATGCTATTTCTTAAGGGGGCTCCCTACTTCTGTTTTCTTTGATTTACTACCGAAGCTGCAAAGTTCAGTAAATAAGATGCTCGTAATTTTCGGTTGATTTTAAAGCGTTCTTTATGAAATAATAAAAAAAGAAGTGTTATATGCAGGTCATGTCTGTATGTCCGTCGGTCTGTAACTTAGTATCACCGCCTAAAACGCTGGGATTTTTAATCGATATTGAAAGCATTGACAACTCTTAAAGAAATTCCAATTTTTAGTCATATTGATCCA